GGCAGCCACTGTTTTACTCTGTTTCTATGAATTTGACTTATTTAGATTCCACATATAAGTGAGATCATGCAGTATTTGTCTTTCTGTGTCTGGCTTATTTCTCTTAGAATAATGTCATTTAGGTTCATCCATAGATGGAAGACATGACAAGATTTCTTTCATTTTTAAGGCTGAATAATATTCCATGTGCATGTGTATATGTGTGTGTGTGTGTGTGTGTGTATACACACACAACACAACACGTTTCTTTATCTGTTTGTTGATGGACACTTAGGTTGTTTGCATATCTTGGTTATTGCAAATAATGATATAATGAACAAAGGAGTGCAGATCTCTCTTTGAAATGCTGATTTCCTTTGGACACATACACAGAAGTGGAATTGCTGGATCATATGGTAGTTCTATTTTTTGATTTTTTGAGGAAACTCCATGCGGTTTTCCATAATGGCTATACCAATTTACATTCCCATCAACAGTGTACCATGCTCTAGCCAGGTTATCTTTTATTTACATCCTTGCCCACACTTAAATCACTTGACTTTTTGATGATAGTCATTGTGGCAGGTGTGAAGTAATAGCTCATTGCGGTTTTGATTTGCATTTCCCTGGTGATTAGTGCTGGTGAGCAGCTTTTCAACAGCTTTTTGCCTGTTGCACATTTGTATCAAAGGGAACAACAAAATGAAAAGGCAACCTACAGAGTAGGAGAATATATTTGCAAACCATATATCCAACAGGGGACTAATGTCCAAAATATATAAAGAATTCATACAACTCAACAACAATAAAAGAAGTAACCCAATTAAAAACCAGGCAAAAGGACCTGAATAGACATTTTGCCAAAGAAGACATACAGATGTAACTTGTGTTTTTTAATACGATTGTTTTATTTTAGGTATGTGTATTTTATGTGTAAATTCCACTTTTCTACTTATTCAGTAGTTACTTATTGAGGGCTAGTATCAGGCCATTTGCTGCAGTAGGTGTGGTAATAGATAGAGTTGAGTACAGTGGTGGTCCCATCCCTGAGGAATTACTCTTAGTTAGGATAGAGGTTGGCAGGTCATAACTAAATCCTCAATCCTAGCCCCAAACCTAGTAAGGTCAAGAGGAAGTTGCTTCTGCGAGCAAGGTTTTCTCCGAATGCTACTTAGGATGTCAGCTTCCACATGTAGCTAAGAACAAGAGTGAAGCCATGGGCCTACTCAGAGACCACAAACTTCAAAACTTCTGTTTAGCGTGTTTAATTATGGTCATAACAATAAATCTGTTTTTAATGCTGTTACATTTGAAGGTAGATCCCAGCCACTAATCAGAGCATTCAGATGTCTTCTTGCCCTAAAAGCTGGGGTTTCCTTCTGCCTCTGCAGCACCCCGTAGGGTCAAATAAACTGTCCCAATCTGGGGAGCCACACTCCCAGTTCAATTCTCTCACCCTTTGCAGATCCATTTTCCCTCTCAGGACTTAAAGGGAAGTGATTTTTAGAATGATTACTAACAGCATGGGAAAAGTTAATATACCTCTTAAAATGCGTTATATTTCCTTTTGCATTGGTGAAATTCTGTCCTTTTTGGTGTAATGTTGAGAGATTCTCAGTTTTGATTGAATAAGATCATAATCTTAGTTTAAAGAACACCTTTATAGAGCTTAAAGTGAAATAACAAGAACTGCTAAATGTTTTGAGATGGAACTTTTGTAGAAAACGCTGAATGTTGGAGGAAGATGCAATGTGTTGGTTCTTTGATCTGCCAGCCTCCTTTCCCTAGTTATTCACAATTATATTAGTTAGGGCAAATAGATTATAACTCAAGCTTCTGAAAACCATTTAGAGAGATAAGAAATTCATTTCACTATACTGTGCTCTAAATTGTAAGTGAGATTCAAGACTAATTATCTAATAGGTTGAGGCTTTAAATTGAAATTTTCCTCCATGTTATTCTATATCTGTATGATTCACCATGAAGTTTGGCTTTAAAAGTTTCAAAAATACTGATTTTTTTTTATTCCTTTCATTTTAATTGCAGTTATTATTTTTTTAAAAAATAATAGACCCTGGCCACTTCTTTGTATCTCTCAATCCACCCCTTTCTTTTCCTCTTTTAGAGCTAGGTGTAGGGTTTTGTAGGGCCTGGGCATATTAACAGAATAAAGTAGGCACAGTAGTTCCTCCCTCAGCCACAGTTTCACTTTCGACGGTTTTAGTTACCTGCCTTCAACCATAGTCCAAAAATACTCAATGGAAAGTTCTGGAAATAAACAGTTCCTAAGTTTTAAATCGCACACCATTCTGAGTGACTTGATGAAATCTCACATGGTCCCGCCCTGTCCCTCCTGGGATGTAAATCATCCCGTGCTCCCTGCCTGGGAGTCACTTAGTAGCCATCTCGGTTATCATGTCAATGAAGCATAGTATATCTAAGGTTTGGTGCTATCCACGATTTTAGGTGACCACTGGGAGGCTTGGAACATGTCCCTCATGTACAATTTTTTGGTGGGGGTGGGGGAAATCTAAAGTAAAGCATACTTTACACAGAGACAGAGTTCACACTATTCTTCCCAGGAAATGAGAAACCAAGTGTCCGACCCATATTTTTATTATCAGGTTGCACCTACTGTGAAGTAGATATATTTGATGGAAATGATAGCTCTCCTGGGGAAATGGTGTGTCTGTGGCGTGTGTGTGTGTGTGTGTGTGTGCACACACTGTGGCTTTCGGTATGTGTGGGCATACGTGGGTGCTTATTTGAGCAATTGTGTCATTTAATCAGCTAACGGGAACAAGCAGTGGCGTTGTTCTGTCCACAAGGTTTCTGTTTGTCCCTTTCTTGCAAGTGTTCCATCCTCACTGTTTATTCATTTCCTGAGAGCCAAGAAGTCTTTCCATAGCTCTGAGACAAAGAAAATTACTCAGCATCATCTTACTTTGGTATTTCAGGACCTGCGTCTTCCGTAGGCTGCTGCTGTGGTTGGCAAAGTTTGGGTTTGACTAGTCTCCTATGTAGGTTACTGAAGGTCACACTCTGAGCTCCGTCGCAGCTGTGGCTCCACGAGCTCTCTGAGTTGAAGACTGAGCGGTGTTAACTCGCCTATTGATGCTCTTGGTAAAACAATCCTGGCGCACTTGAGCCGTCCATTCAATACATACTTGAGTGCCTATCATGTGCCAGGCGCTGTCCCAGGTGTTGGGAATACACATGCAGAAACCACAAGAACCACTGTGCTCTTGGAGTTCACATTAGGCTCCTTGACAACTTTCAGTTGATCTGCCCCCCCCCCTTTCTGGAGCCAGGGGGTCACTCTTCTAGCCTGTGGGAATGTATTAATTTGCTTCACTTTTTTTTTTTTGTTAGCTTTTACTATTGCATGATATATAGATAAGACACCATTGCTGCCCTCGGGGAATTTGTGGGAGAGAGAGACAGGCAGACAGGCAAACGTGTAAACACTTTGCACCCGGCAGACTGGATGCATGCTGTAGTGAAGGCAGAAGCAACAGCTCCAAGGGAAGGCAGTAGAAGGAAAGAGCGACTCTTCAACTGGGGCACAATTCTTATGATAGAGGTGCTGTTGGGCTCCGCCTTGTGGTCACCTGTGAGCATTTGGGACGTCTGGCCATGCGGTGTGTGGGAATGGGTGTTGTAAGCAATGAGGAAGGAGGGAGGAGCTGGGCAAAGCCAAGTGTTTGAAGGACTTCAATGCATGCTAGAATGTTCTGTGAGGGCCAGTGGATTTCACAGGATAGCAATGACGTGACTTGCCCCCGTCTCGGGAAGATAACTGATAACAGTGTGTGGGATGCTCGGGAGACAAGAGCTGTCCGGCAGGGAGCCAGCTGGATGATTTGCTTCCATTTATTCTTTTACTCATTCAACATACATGCACCTAGGGCTCACCTTGTGCCCAATGCCGGGCTTTTCCAAATAGTTCAGACCAGAACCAGTGAGGGCTGGAGGCATAGCCGTGGGGTAGGAATGGAAAGGCTGGGGTAGGTATGAGAGGCATGGCAAAGGGGACATGGGCACGTGACCCCAGAAACGGCTGGTTTGAGGTACAGATGGACATTGTGTGCATGCATGCATGTGTCTAGATGGTGGCAGGCAGCTGGAAATTGAGGTCAGGTGCTTAGAGAAGAAATCATTGTATACGGACCCATCTTTGTGGTAAAATGCAGAGGTTGTCAAGAGAATGAATCTCCAGTAACTCCTTAAACTCAGGCTGGGAGGTTGTTCAGCCAGCGAACCCCACGGGGCAGTCCCCAGCCCCACACGAGCCTGCAAGTACCGCAGGCCCCCTGGGAGTGTTACCACTTGGGTAGAAATGTACATTTGAAAATAAATTTTATAATCGATTGCCAATCTCAGATGCTAGTTTAAGAAGAGTGGAACCAATTTAATGCCCTAACTCATCTTTCAAGTGTGAAGTTTACATTTTTGTTTCTTTTTGCCGAGTGACTGAAAGATACATATGAAGACAAAACTTTGTGGGGTGCATGTGGGCCCCTCAGTCTCTTTGCTGAGTTTCATTTGCTCTCTGCCTCCCTTGTCAGTGGGGTAGAAAACGGCAGTGGTCGGCCCTGCTGTGAGCATAGATAGCCATCATCCCTCACAGTGGCTGGACAATTCCAGATTTAATTCTGAACAGAGAAAACTGATTTCATTTACGTTATGTGATAAGAGGTACAAAGAAAAACTGGAAGCAGTATAATGGCTTGTCCTGACAGAATGCTTCCTCCGCTCTGGAGCAGCCAACCCACTTCTCTTGGTCAGGGTGGGGCACTGCATTTTAAGCACGTGCTGGTTGTTATTCATTGTACTTTTTTTTTTTAAGGTAGGAAATGTTGTTCTTTGGACTGAGTTAAATGCTGCTCAGCATAAAAGATGTGATGTGGAACAAAGTCTGCAGACTGTGACTAATTGACATGCACTGGGCTAATGAGAAGACAGAATGTCTCTAATCAGCAGCAGAACAAACACTCACAAAGGGTCTCCTTCCCTCCTAGGACTTCCTTCGCCGGGCATCTGGCCGGGATTCTTGTTGGACTAATGTACACTCAAGGGCCTCTGAAGAAAACCATGGAGGCATGTGCAGGTACAGACAAAACGCCTTTGGCATGACAGCAAGTTGGAAGTTCATCTTAATTTTAATGTGAATAGACACAACTCCAAGTTTTCCTGTGGTTCAGCTTAGGAATTCCCTAATACACTTGTCTTTCTTTTTAAACCAAAAGGTAAAACAGCTGGTGCAGTTCCTCACGTTGCTCCACAAAAGAGGATGCAAATGCAAATTTTAAATCTGAGGCTTTCTTAGGGAACAAATACCAGTATAAACTTATTCCCTCAACTTAATGCTACTCATGGAAAACCACGATTTCCTCAAACATGCAGAGAACTAAAGTGGGTTTAAAATATTGCATTCTTCCATAATATTCCATGAATCAATATATGTGCAAGGCAAACTTAATAAAGAAAACCAAACCTGGACTGAAGTGGCAGGTCAGTATTTTAAAGAATTCAGAATGACCCCTGGGTTTGGTGGGTAACACGTATATTCATGCATGGTCAAACCAAGTCTGTTATTGCTTGAAGCTTGGCTCCCGCTTTTTTTTCTTTGTTTTCCACTTCAAATTGATGCTCAATGAAAATATTTTATTTAGAAATATATGCATTTTTTCAACCTCTTAATTTAAAATGCTGTACTGGTTTTGACTTGTAAGAAAACTATTTTGCAAACACTTGTTTTATAGACCATGCGAGTTCCAATATTTCATCTTTTATTCATGGGAAATCTTCTGAGACTATTTTACCTTTTCTTGAACCATAAATAATTTGTTTTCACAGTTTGTGCCGATGACTGGTATTCTTGAGAACCATATAATATTCATGATATTAGAAAGCTTTCCCGGCACTGCACTGTCGCTTTTATTAGCAGGTTGTGTTCACTTTGGGTTGATTTTTGCAGGCTGTGTTGCATCTAAGCAGATTCCCATTTTCCTGCATTTGCTTATTACTGTTTCTGGTGTATTTGCTTGGAGGAGGCAGTGGGAGCTTCATTTATTGAAAATGCCCAGTTTTATTATGTTTTCAACACAATTTAATACTCATTAGTATTGATAAAGGAAAAGATATGATTTGGGAAGTTTAGTGTTTTGTTTCATTTTTCTGTGTGTCTCAAGATTAAGTGGTTAGTAAAGCTTTCTACAGACATGTTATGAAATTTAGACAAGTGCTTTGTTTAATTGTTGCAGAGGATTTTCCCCACAATTATAACATTGAAACTCTTAGTTTTCCTCCTTTAAACCTTGCCTATTTTCCACGGAGACTTATTTTTACAACACTCTGTTTTCGAAGTAATACAATAGAAAATTTAAATACAAAAATCAGAACACATTCAGTGTGATTTTTCAAATAACCTGCAATCTCTCTTCCTTTTTTTTATGTGAACTGAGAATTGTAGTGACACAGGAACCCCATGGAAGGTGACCAGGCATCTGGAGGTAGCTGTCTGAAACCTCCTGGAGCAGGAGGGTCACACTGAGAGTACACCCTTCATTCAGCAGTGCTGAATTGACTATGTCCTTCTGCCTTTCGTAGGGACACGAAAGAGTAAAGTCCCTTAGGAAGCATAAGGAGTGTGGCCCTCTTAACACTGTTGTTGGGGGAAGGTTCTCTCTTTAACCAGAGCCTCTCTACTTCTACAGAGGCACCAAAGCCCAAGCTTGGTACCTTGGGAGGCAAAGTCCTGTCTAATATCAACAGGACCCTCCAAGGAACTTCAGTGAATCTAACTTAGGGAGTTCATTGTGCCCCCACACACATTCTATTCCTTATAGGTCTGGCCCCCAAATAAAAGGGAGTTTATTTTAACAATTGTTTAGAAATCATTTGAGATGACCCTGGGCTTTTTCATAAAGAACCTCCTAATTGTTGGAAAGATTAACATTTAAAGCTTTGTGGCTACCATTCAAATGTTTATTTCTTTCATGTTTAGGCATTTTCCCCTCCAATACTGGTTACTCAGGACAGCAGTACTACTTTAATAGTTCAGGTAAGTGCTTTATTTCATTTAATAAATTTTAACTGATTAAAATTATAGTGTTTGCTGCTATAGAGCTACTTTAAGATAACACTAGTTTATGCTGTGGTAGAGTAATTCACATGTTATGTAATTGTGCCTTTCACATTCCCGGAAGCTAGATGGAGGGGTAACCCAGGGAGCATTTTTGGGTCGGTCAGTACAAAAGTCCAGGGAAGGAGGTAACTCTGGCATAAAAAAATTGTATGATTGGTATGAGGTCTCTCATGTGTGATGAGGTTCATATTAGATGCTGGTCCTTTTGATTCTCACCATAAGGCCATACTGCTGGCAAAGTGTTAAAAGTTGGTTTCAGGTATACAGTTCTCCATGGTCCACCCCACCTGTATTCAGGAAACTCACGTGTACCCTAAGATGCTAAGATAGGCATTGCTCTAATAAATACATGTGAGTTAAAGAAGAGAATATATATTTTTTTAGATTTCTGTGTAAATAGGTAAAGAGGGCTTCCTGTGAAAAGCATAAGACCTATTTTAGGCTAAGGCCTTTATATTCCAGCTTGGGGCAGCTACACTTTAGTACCTGGACCAGCACCAGGAGACAGGTGTAAAGCCCATGGCCTATGGAACTACTGAGTGTCTTAATGCAATGGACTGAATGTGTTCCCCCAGATTCATATGTTGAAATGCTAAGTCCTAATGTGATGATTTTGGGGGGGGGGCTATGTGGGAAAATTTAGGTGACAAGGGTAGAGCCTTCATGAATGGGATTAGCACCCTTATAAAAGGGACCCCAGATAACTCTCTAGACTTCTTACTGCCATATGAGGATACAAGGAGCAGTTGGCCTTCTGCATCCCAGAAGGGGGCCCTCACTAGAACTGACCATGCTGGAACCCTGATCACAGACTTCTAGCCTCCAGAACCCGAGAAAGAAGTTTCTGTTGTTGAAGCCACCTAGCCTGTGGCTGTTTGTTACGGCAGCCCATGTGGAGTAAGATGTGGTTATAGTGATACCAATTGGGAACTGCTATGGCTTAAATCTGGGGTCAGCAGCCTTTTCTTTAAAGGACCAGATAGCTAATGTTTTAGGCTTTAAGGGCTTTATTGGCCATACGGTCTCTGTTGCAACTAGTCAGTCTGTCCTTATAACATGAAAGCAGCTGTAGACAATTCATAAATAAATGGGCATAGGTGTGTTCCAGTAAAATCTTATTTACAAAAATAGGAAGTGGGTTGGATTTGGACCATGAGTTGTAGTTTTTTGACCCTGGTTTAAATAATATAGGTACAAAGAATTATTGAGATATATATATATATATATAGCTTTTGCTTAAATTCCCATAGAATATTCTTAGCCACAGACTGGTTTCCCCAGTGGCATCTTGTGAGTAGTCATATTGTACAGAAAGCCTGACCAGCTATTGAGGGAGAGAAAAAAAGAGCTGCAGTCCCAGTCTCAAAGTTTATGATCCGGGAGTGGGAAAGTAGGTACCATGCATTTGAAAAGATGAAACAGCAGACACTAATGGGACTGACTAGGGTGTAGGAAATAGAGTGCTGAACCATGATGTGGGGTGGTCCAGGGTAGTGGGATGATCACTAATAATGCTGGTATTTGTTCTCTTTTACCATGTCCCCTCCTGGTCAGTCCCCGTCTCCCAGCTCTCCTCTGTGACTTTCCAGCTCAGGGAGCCTGCTGTGCTCTGCTCATGCCCCCTTCTACCGCCCTGCACCACAGTCTGGAAAGTGACTATAGACTCATTTCCTTTATTTCCTTTGCCTCAAGGTTCAGAAGCCTGTATGATCTATTATATTAATACATTGTCTGAAAATAGTTGTTTCATATATTTTCTCCAGTCTTCTACTTGATTTTGGTGAGAGAGCTAGTTAGTCCAGTCCCAGTTGCTCCCTCTTGGCAGAAGTAGGATTCCTAATCTAGCAATACTAAGGTAGTGGGGTCAGTGCTCATCCTGGGATGGATGAGTGGGGTTGCCTTATGGGAGGTTATTCAGAAGCAGTAGAGTTCTGGGTCTTGATAGATGAGCAGAAGTTAAGAAAAGCAATGGGAGAAAAGGGCTTTTTAGTGACAGGAAACAGTACTTGAAAAGGCCTGTTTGAGATTATCCAGAGTGTGTTGGAGAGCCACTGAATGATTTAATCAGAGTGACACTGTCAGAGCTAAGTTTAGGTTTTCTGTGTAGTTCTTAAGTCTTGGATCATTGTGATCAATCCTGGCTGTAACTGTGAATCACCTGAGGAGCTTTTACAACATACTCATGCCTTGAATTCACCCTAGTCCAATGCGATTGGAACGGAGGTAGAGGGAGGGACTGGGGCTTTTTTTTTAAAAAGCTTCCTAGGTGATTTTAATGGCATCAGGAACAAAAACCATAGCCTTAGATGATTGGGGTTCTCTAGGCTTGGAGACCACAGAGATGAATTCTGTCACTGCCCTAAGAGGAGGCTTCACTTCTGAGGCTTTCACCTCTGCTTATTTAGATGCTTAAAATCCTAGAAACTTGGCCTTGGTGCGGAGAACGGTTGTTCTATAGTGCCATGTCACCTGCTTCTGCCTGTGGACTCATGTAAGTTGAAGCTGTGATGAGTAGTTGTGAACAAAGCTGATGATACAGTCATTTGGAAGAACACTGGGTCCTTTGGGTTGTTGGTTATGGAGACCAGTTCACACCTACCAAGGAGAACTCTACTGCCCATGTGACCAGGAAGAGCTGGGTTGGACAGGACGACCATCATGATTCCATCTCCTCTTATGGTTTCTCTCTTCCTTTTGACTTTATTCTTTCCACGGGGCAGGAGACATGTTGCCTAACAGCTTGAAGTTGCTATAGTGAAAAGGGCTTCTTTTCTGGGTTCAGTTTTTTTGTTTTTGTTTTATTTCAGCATATTATGGGGGTACAGATTTTAAGGTTTCAATAAATGCCCTTTCCCCCCTGGGTTCAGTTTTTAAAGTCCCCAAAAGAAACAGCAGTGTTCTTCTGGGCAAAGAGAATAGTAAAAACACACTTGGGCACAGACATGACTTAAAATAACATAGATGACCTGGTCCTAACATTTTATGTGACAGTTAGGAAACTGAGGCTTAGCAAGGTTCAGTAATTTGGCTAAAATCACACAGGTAGTTAGTGGTAGAACTAGGACAAACGAGCAAGTCCCTGATGTCTAGCCCCTGCTTTTTCTATTGTACAAGGATATGAGATGGGCACTCTGCCAATTTAACCTTACAAAATAGGGCAGTTCCACTTACTGTCTTTTCTCACTCTTTTTTTTTCTTTGAACTCTATATATGAAAAAAAAAAAAAAAAGAAAAAATGGAAACTTGCTTTCATATGGAAGAGGCATAGGCCCAGCAGACTCACAGAGCAGAGGATTAAAGACAAAAATAAAAGCCCTTTTTACCTTTCCTAACCTCTGTGAGATTACCATATTTATATTCCTTCCTCTGAAGTGATCAGATTTCTTCAAAGACAGAGCTCCATAAGGCCAGGTGGCCATGCTAATGGTCATCTAGGGAACTTTTATGAGAGCATATGTATCTCCTACACGTAATGATTTATTCTTAATATGGCTGTTCTTAGCTGGAAAAGTCTTTATAGGTCAAAGAACCTCATGAATGTTTAAAAAGCTGTTACCAATTTTTCTAATCTTGGTGGTGTTTCTTGATCTCCTTTGCCACAAAATCCTGGTATGTGTATAAGGAACAGATGGAGTAGTTAATAGAATAATGATAACCAGAGTTTCTTTTACGGCATAGCCCAAGTGTGTAGCTAAAAAAAGAACATTAAGCTAGCATTCATCGCAGTACATAATTTAAACTTATTTAAGTGTTTGATTGTTAGATTTTTCCAGGAATGTTTATTATGAAGATTTAAAAAACATCTGATTGGACCAGTGAAACAGCTGTAGAAAATTTTTGGTCCTAGGAGACCTGTTCCCATTATAATAGATATTGATGGGGTTTGGGTCTTGTTGATGATTTATGACTGATGATATGGAACCTTTAACCACACTAATCCTTTTGACTTAAGGCACCAAAAGTGTCCCATTCTCTCTCCCATGTTTTGTCTGACAAGTACCAAATTAGGTTTTGTAATAGTCAGATGTTTAGAGTTGTCGACCTTATTTCATTAAAGCACTGCTAGGTTGTTTTTAAGTAAGAAATAGCATGAAGAAAAAAATGTTGCCTCAAATTACTGCACATATACCTGGCAATTAAAACTCTATGCATGTATATAGTGTCCATATAGATTAGTATTCAGAGACTTTGGATTATTTTGGATTCTGAATTAGCTGAGGATTTTGAAGGATGGATAGTAGAAACGCTGTTAGACCTTCCCTAACAGAATGACATTCCACAGGGGTTTGAAAGTGATAATGAGCCATCTGGGAAATTACCCAGTATGCTTTTTGTGTTGCAATAAAATAATTGGCACTCTTAGGGAATTGGGTAGTTTCTCTATTCCGGGATTGCGGAAGCATCCCATGGCATTCAGTTACTTATCCATAAATATTCTATTAGTGCTTTGGAGTGGTTGCCCCTTCATGTGTTCTTTGTGATGTAGACATATTGTGTTTTCGCCATTCGTCATCATACAAGGTGTGTTTTTGATGAGGGGTGTCAAGAGCAAGATTTGTAGCATGACTGTATTCTCCTTTACTCTCCACATGAGTAACTTGCTGGTGGTGGGTGTTTGCCAACACAGCAGTGGGTGCCGAATTTTTCTGATGGTTCTTCTGGGTAGAGACCAATTTGAGGAGGGGTGTCCATATTTCAGATTGTATCCAGATCCCACTTTCGTCCTAAACCAGTGCAAGGATGTTGAAAATTTACTTATCTCCTTCTCCTGTTTTAAATATCAATAATGTAAATATTCTGGCAGGGGAAATATAAGAGAGAATAGAGAAGTTGGGTTACTGGGGGTATTTAGTAAATCCCCATTAATTTTTACTGCATTGAGACAAGGCTTTTCAGAATTAGTCTTCAAAATCCTGAGCAATTTTATTTAATGTGAATTTAAATCATTTGTTTTTGTTACTTTCAAGGACATTCAGTAAAATATAACTAAGCAAGAAGAGTATTATAATAATTAGTAAGAATGGGCAAAAGATCTGAATAGACATTTCTCCAAACACGATATAGCTAATAAGCTCATAAAAAGATGCTCAACATCATTAGTCATCAAAGCTACAGGAAGATACCACTTTATATCCACTGGGATGACTATAATTAGAAAGATAGATAATAGCAAGTATTGGTGAGGATGTAGAGAAATCAAAACGCTCATACACTGCTTGTAGGAATGTAAAATGGTGCAGCTGCTTTGGACAACATTCTGGCAGGTCCTCAAATGGTTAAAAAGAATTGTGACCCAGCAGTTCTACACCTACATGTATACTCAGGAGAAATGAAAACATATGTCCACTAAAAACTTATTCAGAAATGTTTATAACAGCATTATTCATAATAATCAAAAGGCAGGATTAACCCAAATGTCCACCAACAGATGCATATGTAAACAAAATATGGTATAGCCATACAATGGAATACTATTTGGCCATAAAAAGGAATGAAATACTGATACATGTCACAATACTGGTGACCTTTGGAAGCATTATGCCAAGTAAAATAAGTCAGACCCAAAATGCCACAAATTATGAATATAATTCTATTTATGTGAATTGTCCAGAATAAGCATATCTATAAAGACAGAAAGTAGAATAGTGGTTCCTTAGAGCTGGGAGGGATGGGAGTTTGAGGACTATTAGTTAAGGGGTCCTCAAACTACGGCCCACGGGCCATATGCGGCCTGCCGAGGACATTTATCCGCCCGCCAGTACCACTGCTGCCTGTCCTGTTTAGCAGCCGACTCGTCCCAGCCCCACAGTGCACATATGTGGAATGTGTGCTGCACTCTCCAATGGCCCTCCAACGGTCTGAGGGACAGTGAACTGGCTCCCTGTTTAAAAAGTTTGAGGACCCCCAAGGGTACAGATTTCTTTTTTGAGGGATGATATAAGTAGTCAAAATTGATTGTGGTGATGGTGGTACAACTCTAAAATATCATAAAGACCATTGAGTTGTACCCTCTAAATCGGTAAATTGTTATATTGGTTATATCTCAATAAAGCTGTTCTAAAAACATCAACAGACACCAATTCTTTACATGACAAATATAAACACATAATTATATTATCAGCTGAAACCAGATTAGTATTTTATTATCATTTCATTGTTTATACAATGAAACAAAGACTATTACAGTATTGAGAATTTTTTATGCTTCCCTTTTAATCTTTCATATTGGGAAAGTCTTTTATTCATAACCAATATAAAAGTAAATTGTAAAATTGCCTCAGGACCAATTATCAAAAATTCTGAGTATGAAGTCTCAGCTAACCAGATTCTGCCATATAGTGTTCCTCTTTTGGCTCGATTGTATTTTTTTCGGTAGTCTTATTAAAGCTCTAACTTGGGCCTGCACTATGTGGGATAATATAGAGATTGATGACACAAGACTCCCATAAAGGTTAGGAATCTTCGTCAACAACCAAAAACACATCATTTAAACATTTGAAGCATCATCTTCAAAGGGCATTATAATGAGAAGAAATCAGGGGAAAAATTAAACAGACTATTACTTCTCCCTAATTATGCCGGAGTGAGGTTGGTAACCTTCTGTGGGAATAAACATCCCTTCCAAACAAAATCTGTAACAGTTGGCAATTAAAGAAAATATAAGGAGCAAGTTCAAACTTACTGAAAAGATTGATGGAAATATCTTACAAAAGTGAACTGTGCTCTGTTATTGACCTTTTTGAATGGGTGTTGAAGTCTGGTGGCTAAAGCAATATTTAACGAACAAGTTGTCTCTTCTCTCTTGCTTTATCTAGCAACCAGCAACTTTTTTTTTAAAAGGAACCACAATCTCTTATATACAATTATAATTAGAGAGAAATTGGTTCATACATCTCAATCTTATTACCGTCTGGAATGTTCCGTAGTATCTCTATTAAACACTGGTCTGCCTCTCATTGTATGGAACCACAAGATAATAAGACTTTAACAACTATTGTTTCTACCATTCTCTTGACTCAGGTCAGGACTTCCTGAAAATAGTGCAAGTATTGAATAGTTACAAATTGGAAATCCACTCCATTGGATGGGCTAAAAAATAGCCCATTCCTGTTCCTTCTGCCAGGCCTCTGAGGACCTTCTAAGTTAATGTCTCCTGTCTTCATTAGCACATAAAGACTCTTTCGTGTCTGGCCCTGTGATGGGCACTGTAAATACAACGATGACAAGATGGTCATTGCCTACCTTCATGGAGGCCTTCTCCATTTGGCATCTTTTCTTATTTTGAGGATGACTATTAGGCTCAAAATAATGACCTGAATTATTTCCTTGTCTTTGCTTTAACAAAATAGAAAGTATGAAACAAAAGAACAGTCCATACCTGTGTTCTGTAACCTTTTCATTGTGCTTCTAGGCCATTCTGGATATGAGAATCATTATCCGTATGGCAGGCCAGGCTACTATGAAGAAGCACCCAGGAACTACGATGTATACACAGCAGGACTGAGTGAGGAGGAACAGCTGGAGAGAGCATTAAGAGCCAGCCTTTGGGACCGAGGTAGGAGCTTGCATCCTTCAGTTATTTTAAAGCATACCTCATGTGATGAGATGGTCTGAAAAAGGGCTATTTGTAGCAAATTAAACTTTAAATAGTTTATAAAAAGGACATGTAGATGAAAAATGTGTTCAGATTGTGATTACAAAGAATGGGGTGTGATGCCATATTCCCAGCAACCTAAGCTTAATAAGGTGCCAGACTGTGTATGTATTGTTAAAGTGGTTCTTTTTATAGGCCTGCTGCACTTGATGCTTTGGCATTGAAGTCAAGAAACTTAAAATTCTTAGGTGCATGATAAAAAATAAAAGGGAGACTTTACTTTGGAATTTATATCTGTAAAGCAGGTTCTGTGTCATTGTATATCAAAGTATTACCCATAAACCTCCCACAAATCTCCCTCAAAGTCACATGGGCTAAGAATTCAAACTCAGTTTTGAATTCTGCTGAACCAATCTCTCTGGGGGCAGAGCCTAGGAATTTGTATTTTAACAGGCTTTCTTTCTGTATATCAGTTTGTAAAAAATAAAAAAGAATTTCTTTTACAAACTAATGTAGGAGAACCTCTGTTTTCTGCCATCTTCATTCTGGGTTTGGCTTGTGAGTTTGGGTATTATTGTTTTTACTGTTTTAGTAGTGACTAAAAATCTATTCATTCACGTAGACATTTAGTAAGGTTTTATTATGTTTTATGTACTATGTTAGGTACAATAGGAAGCAGAGAGATGGGAAAGATGGTACCTTCTCTCAAAAAATTCACAATCTCTGTTTGGGCATATGCCTGCTAAATGCTATAACACACAAGTAAACATAAGATCAGGGTCCTAAGAAAGACTCAGGTTAAGTTCTAGAGGCAGAGAGAAAGGACTGAGCTTTTTCTTACCTAGAGTTGTCAGATTTTCACAGTGGAGGTGGCATTTGAGTTGTACCTTCAAGAGTGTATAGAATTTGCAGAGATATGGAAGGCACTCTAGGCAGGAGGCTGAGTATCAACATGTGCACAGAAGTAAGGGACGTACGTGTTCAGCCAGCCTTCACTTCTAAATGGAACATTTTTAAGAGAAGTGGGGAGAGAGAATGGGAAACTAGGCCGAGGCCTGATCACTGAACTCCCAGAATTAAATAGGCCAAGTGGAAAATGGATTCAGTGTATGGTGTAAATGCCAGTAGAGTTCTGCATGGGAGAGTGATATGAACGGAGCTGTATTTTATGAATCTGGTAGCAGTCATTCTGCAAACAAGGATTGAGCACCTATAGGGTAGCAAGCATTACACTAGATGATGAGAATACATAAATTATGACAATATAGTTTCCGACTTTAAGGAATGCTATCTTAGCAGCAGTGTGCATGGAGGTGGGGGGGTGACAATAAGTGGGAAGACAAGTTGAAAGACTTTATTGCCATTGTCTGAACAGGAAATGAAAGCCTAAATTATAAAGTTGGCAAGTGAAGTGGGGAGGAAGAGATAAATCAATATTTTCTCCGGTGAAAGGTATCAGAACTGTGATGTATCAGTAATCTATTTCTGTGTAACAAATCACCCTGAAACTTGTGGCTTAAAACAGTAGACATTTATTCTTGCTTATGAGTGTGTGGGGCAGCTAGGCCAGGCTTAGCTGATTTTGGCTAGTGAGCTAAGGTGTCTACAGTGGTCCACTGGGGCTGGTTGCTGTAGCAGGGGTCCTCAAACTATGGCCCGAGGGCCACATGCGGCCCACCGAGGACATTTATCTGGCCCGCCGGGGACATTTATCTGGCCCGCCGGGTGTTTTTGCAGCAGCTGCCTGTCCTGCTTAGCAGCCCACTCGTCCTGGGCCCACAGTGCACATGTGTGGAATGTGCACCGCACTCTCCAACGGTCTGAGGGACAGTGAACTGGCCCCCTGTTTAAAAAGTTTGAGGACCCCTGCTCTAGGGTGGTCTTGTTTAGGTATCTGACCAACTGTTGTCTGTTGGTGGTGATTGGGCAGTTCGTCCCTCCTCATCCAGCATGCTATCCCAGGCTCATTCACAGGGCCACAGCATAAAGTTTCCAAGAGAGTAAGGCTTGTGGTGGTACAAGGCTAGTTCCACTATATTCTGTTACCAACACAGGTGACAAGACCAGCTCAGATTCATGGGTTAGGAAAATAAACTTCACCTCTTGTAAGAGGAACAGCAGAGTCACATTGCAGTGGTTTTGTATAGAGGGAGAGGTGGAGCGTTAATGTATTTCTGTAATCACTATATCACATGTAGTCAATGGACTGGCAGTATACAACCATTAGAAGTACACCTTAGCCATGGAATCACAAAATCTGGGGAAAGAGCCCTAGAGCCTGTATTTTAACAAATTTTCATGGTCATTCCTGTGTGCACAAGGTTTTAATCACTACTGGGCTGGACGTGAAATATGAGGATAAGTAGAATAGGGCAAAACTTCTCAGCATGGACTCTGACCTCTTCTAGGTGGACTTCAAATAAAATCCCAAGAGCCAAGGAACACAGCATGGTAGGAAAGATTTAGACTTAGATTTTGAGGGACAACATCCAATTATTACCTCTTTAAGAAAATATGCACTTTAAAGTGCTATAGCAAGGGTTTAGGCCGGGCGAGGTAGCTCACACCTATAATCCTAGCACTCTGGTAGGCTGAGGCGGGTGGTTTGAGCTCAGGAATTCGACACCAGCCTGAGCAAGAGCAAGACCCTGTCTCTACTAAAAATAGAAAGAAATTATATGGACAACTAAAAATATATATAGAAAAAATTAGCTGGGGCATGGTGGCATGTACCTGTAGTCCCAGCTACTTGGGAGGCTGAGGCAGGATCGCCTGAGCCCAGGAGTTTGAGGTTGCTGTGAGCTAGGCTGACGCCACAGCACTCTAGCCTGGGCAACAGAGTGAGACTCTGTCTCAAAAAAAAAAGTGCTATATCAAGGCTTCAAAAATGATCAAAGGGTGATCGAAGATCAGAGCGAAAAATTAGGTAGCTTGGTCAGAGTATTTGAAGGTGAGATATAGAAAATCTCCAATGCTAAGGTAGGCAGAGAAAGGATATGTGAGAAGACGAGCATACTTTTTGTAGTTTTATTTCTAAAGGTTTGTTATTTGCCCCCATCAGTAGTTATACAAGGAGTTAGTAGTAGTAGTTGTAAGAGTGGTAGTAATAGTAGTAGTACCAGGTGTGTTTTTCAGGAAGAGAAAGAAAATAATGACTTCCTTCAATGATTTTTGTCTTTATATCTATCTCTCAGAGACATGAGCATAGAAGATCTGTTGATGAAAGCATCCTCTGATGGGCCTGGTGACTTTGGAGCAATTTTAGAGACTTGAATCTAGCTACAGGGAAAGGGTCTTACATTTTGTGGATCAGAGGAAGTTATAGTAGATTTTTGAAACTTTTTCCTTAATAAAGAATATGTTTATTATTAGGTTGGTATAAGTAGGTAATATTAATTTTTCCTGTTTAGAAATAAATGATATTTAAGGTTTTAGTAACAGGTTAAAAAAAATCAGACACGTGCTCCCTTGAAAGACTTTAGAAAGTAACCTGATAGTAGTGTTGTGTTTTCATAAATTTAAATTGTATTCACTCGAAAAGGCTTCTTGTAAAAATAAATAAGGAGAGTATCCTAAGTAGCAATAGAAATAATTTAAATTTTTCTATTACCTTTATTTTAAATAAACTTTTTTGATTTTTCTTCTTATCCTTAAAACATTTCAGTGAAGTTAACAAAAGAATCCTTGTTTAGCATTCTGTGTTACAGTGAATATCAGCTTATCTAGTCTTTTTTATTTTATGGAATAGATAACTTATATTGTCAGAAAATTGCTTATTGAATAAATTGTGTTGGGAAAAATTACGTAGCTTGGAGAGGTGAGAATCAGGTTAGATCTTGACCACATCATATAATCAAATTCTAAACTAGTTGAATGAAATATAAACATAAGTAAATATATATTTTAAAAAGAAAAGAAACCACAAAAAGATGGTGAATATTTAATTATTGAGTTTTGGATACAGGACTTTATAAAAACAATGAAAAAATTATTGAATAGAAGAGCAATGGGTTTTCTAACAAAAACTTTGACAAAGAATTAATAACATTAACATGTAAAGAACCCATACAACTCAATAATTAGCACTAACTCTTGTTAGAAAAATGAAAGATAATTTGAACATATAATTCACAAAATGACATACAAAGGAAAATAAAACTGAAATTAATATAAACAATTTGTAAAATGACTTCCTTTGCTGTTGTTGGTTACTGTATAATGCACTTCAAGAAGTCCTTTTAGATCAGTTTTCTTGAAACTGGTTCCATATGCTGTTCATAACATCCATTGAAAATAAAATTCTGTGGTCAAACAAGTTTGGAAAACATTAATTTAATAAATTGGTTTCTTAATTGCAGAACTAATTTGAATCATCAGTAGTATAGCAGTGTCATTGTAGATCTTCAAGGGGGTATAGTTTTCAGTATTTCATAAACATGTAGAATTTGTGTGTTTGGTGAGGGGAGGGAGAGAGGAAAGAAGAGAGACAGAGTTGTTTAGGCTGAATCCTTTGAATGTAGGTTGCAGACATTCTGTTATTTTGCCTCTAAGTCCTTCAATGTGTATCTCCCAAGAATCAGGGACATTCTGCTACTTATCCATAGTACCGCTGTCACATCAAAGAAAATTAGTAGTAATTCTCAAATAACTTATATTTAGTATTAATACATATATACTAAATTTAGTTCAAATATAAAATTCCCCAATTTTCTCAAAGAATGTCTTTTATAGCCAGTTTTTTAAGGTCCCAGTGTTGCATTTGATTGTTATTTCCTATTAATATAACACTATATATACCCTGCTTTTTTTTAAAATGATATTTTTTCCCAGAGCACCAGTCTCATTGAATTATAGAAATCCCACATTTTGTCTGGTTATTTCTTCATGGTGCTATTTAACTTATTCTTCTACCCTCTATATTTCTGTACATTGGCACTTACATTTGAGGACTTAATTGGATT